ACACACACACACACACACACACACACACACACACACACACACACACACACCGATCTGTTTAACATATGTTAATGAAGGCGAGTCCGGGGAGGAGTCTTACCTGCGCTCAGTTCCACGTTGTGATGTACAAAAGCAAAGTGCGTGGATTCAGGCGTACGCACAGTTTGATACATCTGGATTTTTTTGTGCGTACGCCATTTTCTGGATTTGACCGTATGTCAGGTTTCAGTAAGAAATCCACACAAGTCTTTGTACAAATTGTAGCATTTTCCTGCATTTAAATCATCATTTCTGATTAGATTTCACTTGTTCCTATGACAACGGCTCAAAAAAAGGAAGAAAAACCCACTTTAACTTCAGCCTATTTCTAAAGACTTTTGCATGGAACTTCCTTTGTGGCTCGAATTAACATCTCTTACACAAACCCCCACCAGACGTTCTGACGCCTTACTGTTAATAGATAAGAATTGCCACATTCCTGAACCCCCACAAGTTGGAGTGACCATAAGGACTGTCTGTTCGCTCCTCTTCAAAGGGATCATAAATGCCTTTAACCAGACTCTTCGGTGACTGATAACAAAGGACCTACATTCTTCATTAAAAATGAAAAAAGAGAAAAAGATTGAATGTTTTTATACAACTGTCTGTTTCATATATCTTAATCAAAGAAATGTGATTTACCTGTTTCTTTTACAGAAAGAACAAAACCCATTGAAGCTCTACTGTGTTCTCTTTTTAACTGTTTGCCCACTAAGGACTCAGTGTGGTAACTGTGTATTGTATTTAATTGTTTACAGATGGACTCCTGAAGAAGATGTTTCTTTTATTTCATGATTTTAAACAGTGTGTGTTTTATTCCACGATTTAATCCTTAGAAACCTTAGGACTTGAGTTTTTAATTAAAAGTGTGACACTCTTATTTTACTGAGACAAGCAGATGTCTCTCCCTTTAATTAGATGCAAGATAATTAAACTAAAACACTCCCTTTTTCTTTGTCCTGAAGTAAAGTTTTCCCTCCAAAACAGATTTGATTTGTTAAAATCTTTTCCTGTATAAGGTGCAATATTTTCATTGGCCAACTAAAACCTTGACTCCGCCCATAACAGAGGTTTTAAAAAGCTTAGCGCACTCCCAATCTCTAGAGAGACAAAGCAGAACAAGTAGCAGAAGAAGACCAAGAGAGTTTTTGAGAGTTTTTCAACATCAGAAACCAGAAACAGCTTTTCAGAAGCTCAGCAGAGGCCCTCCCTGCCAGCCCCTCCCCATGGGCTGGGCAGGATGGTGGCCCTTCTGCATCTCCCGCTGGGTTGAATGAGCAGCCAACGTTTAATATCGACTCAACATCTGAGTTTGATTTTATAGCAGTTAAATAAGTTAATTGTAATTCATGCGTCATTTTTAGTTTGTTTTCTCTACAAAGTTGAAATCAAATGAAGAAGTCTTGCAGCCACCTGGAGGACCGGACTACGAGTCACCAGGGAGTGACCCCCTTCTCTGACCAAGGGACCAGTCGAGTTTATCAGGCAGACCGCCTGACATCCAGCTTGCATGAAGAGCCTACCTGGGGAACGACCCCAGAGATGACCTTCCACCGCTGACTCCCCTCCTGGTACCCACACGGCGGAACAAAAGGGTAAAAGTGAACATTTGTTCTGGTGACAAACAGGTGCTCAGACGTAATTTGATTCTTATCTTCGTACGAGATTTGGTAAACTAAACGATTTTTCTCCCTAATTTAACTAGGACCCCCTTAGTTAAATCCTCAGCTTAAGAAAACTCACCTCACCTCATTCCAAGCCTCAAACTCACCTCTCAGTGTTTATTTTACGTTTATTTGTTGTTTGTTTATTTGCTTGTTTGTTTGTTTATTCTCTTGTGAGTGCAAACTCTTTCAGTTTTTACACGGTTCAATTATGTCATCACCCATTATTCACCATAGTTGTAAATACATTTAATCTGTAAATAAATGGCTCGTGGAGAACGTGCCAACATAAGCTAATCTCATTTTTGTGTCTTGATGAAAGTATTATTGGTTCTGATAAGACAAAGAACTCATCAAACCATTTTGGGTACATTTATTGTGAGACTGATTACAATAAAGTTACAGGTTTTCGTGTCTTTCCTGGGTTAATCCTTGACCAAATTAAGAGCGTGGTGCCTCGAGGTAAGATAATTTGCGTATTTAAATAATTCACAAATTATCCATTTTAGAATATACCCAAAACCCTACAATATCATCAATGTAAAGTAGGCAGTAACGTCTTTTAAATGTGGGTGGTACAAATAACATGGAGGCACTCATTCAGTGCAACAGCCAACTATTGATATAAAAAAGTTTGATATTTAGTCTGTAAATGATACTCATGCTGTTATTTTCTCCAGGAACTACTCAAGTTTCACGTCATCTCTACAGTTGTGTATAAATGAGACTAAAGATCCTAAAGTCCCTCCTGATTAAATAACAGACATGTTAACAACAGGTGGATCAGGCTGGTAAAAGGTTTTGTGTTAGAAAGTGTTTTCAGATATTTCCTGATGAAAAGTAAAAAATTAAGCATAACAAGGTAACATTTAATCTGATGAATTTTCTCAGGATTGTTTTGAATTTTAGTTGCAGAGAAAATGCTGTAAACTCACCATAAATGTGTCGTGGCTCCTCTGTCCATGGCTCAACAGAAAATCTGGACGTCAGCTTCATGTTTGACAGTTTTGTGTAGAAGAAACTTCCTGTTGAACCTTAATGAGGATGTTTCATCTGCAGGATTCTTCCTGATTCTGCTTTGATTTCATTAAAGATCAAAGTGAGCATTTTTATTCTGTCAGCTCACAGATGATGGGATGCACCGCTTTTATTTGTCATTTTATTCTTTTGATTTCAAGTTAGATTTTATTTGAAAAGACAGATGAGGATGTGCTGCCCTCATCTGGTCAACTCCAGCTGATTTTCTTCTTCAGTTCTGATTCTTTCTTCATGACTGATAAAAATCTGGTTGCATTTGAATCATTGAGTGTTTCTAGTTTGTTCAGTTTCACCTGAATGTTAAAGGAAAAACAGGAGGCAGGTGGATGAAGAGCAGAAACTAGAAATTTATTCATGAACAAATCAAAAATTCAAATCTGTCCGACTAATAATCCTGGATTATCTAATCCCACTTTTATCAAACAGGCCCTAGTAATCTGAACTAACATGAACAGAAGTCAGCTGAATAAGCAAAGCTGACTAAACTTAGAATAAAAGACAAGAAACACAAAGTTTAAGGCTACAAATCTGTAGAAAGCTGCAAACTAGGAGGAAGCTTTAACTGTTTGTGACATGAAGTTCCTGAAAGCAGCCTGGCTGCTGCTTCTGGATCCTGGACTGAGCTGGTTTTACAGACTGAACTGAACTTCACACACATGRACTCTGAGCAGATCCTGGAGGTTTCTCACAGATGTGTCTGTAAGGCATGTGACAGGGCTGATCATTCCATATGTTCAGATCACCAATTTTCTTTCCTACTTTCAAAACCACGCAGTCTTCTCCCTCAGAACTGTCATCTTTCACATCATTGGGTTCGCCGGTGCCCCAAAAACTCAAACTAAGAAATAAAGATTAGAAAGAACAGTAGATTTTAACTAAACCTCAGCCAATTTCCTTCCTAAATTAAAGCAAAATGTACCTAAATAAAATTAGATCAAACCTTTTATTCAGAAGTGATCCGTCCACCCAAAACCATCTGCCTTCTGTCTCTGAGTCCGTCAGTCCAATCAAGAAAGAGTCACCAATTGATTTACTGAAGTCTCTCATTTTTCTCATCAGAAACTCCTGACCAGTGAAAGACGATGAAAATATCTCTGAGACTTTCCTGACACAAATAAACTTGATGAAGTGATGAAATGTGTGATAACATGAACCTGCAGCAGTGTTTCATACCTGCTCCTCTCTGCTGTCAATCTTCACCAGCTCTCCTCCAACTTCTCTGCAGAAACTTCTGCTGTTATTCCAGCTAAGTCCATAGGTGTTGAAATAATAACACTTTCCTCCATGAGGCTCCCAGTTTACTTTCAGATCCAGACATGTTTTACCTTTAAAAAAAAGATGAGATTAAACCATTCATTGCATCAGGAGGTAGAAAACGGTGTTGGTGTTTGTGTGATTTGGAGGCAGCAGGAGGTGTCTTCTGTCCTGCAGTTACAATATAACTTCCTGTACCTGTCAGTCCATCAAAGTTTCTTTAAGATCATTACAGGACAGAAAGGACACAAAGTAAAAACTTACTCTGAGTTTCAGGAGGAGGACATGTTGGTTGCTCTGTGATGCTGGACTTTATTTTTGTTTCATGATAAAACATTATTTCAGTCAGTCACATCCCTTATAGAAGTATAACAATAGTTAAAATAAATGAAGACGTTTTATTGTATTGTATACACACTCATCACCACTATATCAGGTACACCTTGCTAGTACCAGGTTGGACCCCTTTTTGCCTTCAGAACTGCTTTAATCCTTGGCGGCATAGATGCAACAAGGAACTGGAAGCATTCCTCAGAGATTTTGGTCCATATTGACATGATGGCATCACACAGTTGCCGCAGATTTGTCGGCTCCACATCCATGATGTGAATCTCCTGTTCCACCACATCCCAAAGATGCTCTATTGGATTGAGATCTGGTGAGTGTGGAGTCATTCCAGTACAGTGAACTCATTGTTGTGTTCAAGAAACCAGTCTGACGTGATTCACACTTTAGGACATAGAGCGTTATCCTGCTGGAAGTAGCCATCATAAGATGGTACACTGTGGTCATAAAGGGATGGACATGGTCAGATGATGGAACACTGTGGTCATAAAGGGATGGACATGGTCAGAAGATGATACACTGTGGTCATAAAGTGATGGACATGGTCAGAAGATGAGAAAACTGTGGTCATAAAGGGCTGGACATGGTCAGAAGATGGGAACACTGTGGTCATAAAGGCATGGACATGGTCAGAAGATGGGAACACTGTGGTCATAAAGGAATGGAGATGGTCAGAAGATGGTAACACTGTGGTAATGAAGGAATGGACATGGTCAGAAGATGGGAACACTGTGGTCATAAAGGAATGGAGATGGTCAGAAGATGGGAACACTGTGGTCATAGAGGCATGGACATGGTCAGAAGATGGTACACTGGGGTCATAAAGGGATTGACATGGTCAGAAGATGGTACACTGTGGTCATAAAGGCATGGGCATGGTCAGAATTTAGTACACTGTGGTCATAAAGTGTTGGACATGGTCGGAAGATGATACACTGTGGTCATAAAGTGATGGACATGGTCAGAAGATGGTACACTGTGGTCATAAAGAGATGGACATGGTAGGAAGATGGTAACACTGTGGTCATAGAGGCATGGACATGGTCAGAAGATGGTACACTGTGGTCATAAAGGGATTGACATGGTCAGAAGATGGTACACTGTGGTCATAAAGTGATGGACATGGTCAGAAGATGGTACACTGTGGTCATAAAGGGATTGACATGGTCAGAAGATGGTACACTGTGGTCATAAAGGCATGGGCATGGTCAGAATTTGGTACACTGTGGTCATAAAGTGTTGGACATGGTCAGAAGATGATACACTGTGGTCATAAAGGCATGGACATGGTCAAAAGATGTTACAATGTGGTCATAGAGGGATGGACATGGTCAGAAGATGGTACACTGGGGTCATAAAGGGATTGACATGGTCAGAAGATGGTACACTGTGGTCATAAAGGAATGGAGATGGTCAGAAGATGGGAACACTGTGGTCATAGAGGCATGGACATGGTCAGAAGATGGTACACTGTGGTCATAAAGGGATGGACATGGTCAAAAGATGTTACACTGTGGTCATAAAGGCATGGGCATGGTCAGAAGATGGTACACTGTGGTCATAAAGGGATGGACATGGTCAGAAGATCTGCATTAATTTTATTCACTGAACAAATACATGTTGCTTTGAACAAAGGTCAAGTAACTGGTGCTGTATATATTGATTTTTGTAAAGCATTTGACACAGTTGATCATTATACTCTCTTACAAAAGTTGATTTCTTTTCAACTTTCATCATCTGCAATACAAATGTTTTCCTCTTATTTGACTGATGGTGTCAGGTTGTGAAACATGGAAGCTCTGTGTCCGGGTCTCTGCCCTGTTCCGTGGGAGTTCCGCAGGGTAGCATACTGGGCCCATTGCTTTTCCTATTATACATAAATGACCTTCCAAAAATATTGAAGTATTCAAATATTTTAATGTATGCTGATGATACTGTTCTTTTTTTGTCTGATTTCAATATTGAAAAATCCACTACAAGGTCCTTCGCTGCGGTTCTCTTCTCTCCGGTTCGGAGTCGTTAGGAGACAAACTCAGAAAACATGAAGGAAAAACCAGGTTTTATTTAACCGTCTTCATTTAAAGGGATTCACGATTAGTTGTAACATTAGAATTTATTTGATAAACATTTATTTTAACCGTAAAATAAAG